ACAGTAACTTTTTGGACACTGGAGAAAATGTCACGCCCCGAACCCCAACGAGTGCACGACACCCCTAAGTCGGTCGAATTAGTGCAACGTCCCAGGAACGCCGCCAACCCAACCAACACATCAAATTTTGAACACGGCGGAAACGAGTATAACACCCAGACAAGAATTACAAGAGGGGTAACAGGGAGAACAACCAACCACTTCATTACACCCACTATATTTACAATATTCATCACAAACCATCGCAACCATCAAACCTCTGCACTGACAACTGCCGATATCAAAATGGACTAGCATCTTCAGTTCTTCCTCGGGCTCCTCTTCGGACTCCATTTCCATGGGCTCTTCATCTGAGGCTAAATCCATTAGAATCGGCTCTTGATACGGCACTTTGGACTCTGGCTGAGGATCAGCCTCAACAGGTGTAGACTCTGCGAGTGTGAGTGAAGGGGCCGACTGCTCATAATCAATACCTGTGCTAGTCACTTTACCGTCAGGGGGAGGAATGGCCGCTGGATCCCAGTCCCCAACTGCATCAAAGGGAGGGCATCGAAACCTCGAACTGGCCCAAACTCATCTAATCCATCTCGGAAGGTCCAAGCAATGTAACTATGAGACTGCCACTCCTAAACACCTATGTCTACCCGAACCACACTAGTGTGTTTAATGCAAGTATACTGGTCATCTATAGGGTACTCTACCGACGCGTGGCCTAATTGCATTGATATACCAAAACGCTGCGGCGGCCGATTGTTCATGGTCCAGGTCTAGGGTCTGAAATGGTTTTAAATAAAATCATGAGAACACTTCTTAGCAAGCGAAAACCCTAGACCCTACCTAGGCTAACATGTACCCCCGAACCAGTTCAAACACTCAGATCATAAAATCAGCATGCCATAAAATCGTAGGCACAAACATCTCTCCTTGATACACACGAAACCTTTCATGCGATTTCAAACAAAACTTTCAGAAATCGACATAATAAAACACTTATCAATACCAATCAATCCAAATCAGTACCAAAGTTCGTATAACAATCTAATTACTTTCAATTGTCAACACATATATCGCGTTCACCATCACAATCGAGCACACGTGTCCAACTCATTTCTGACCTGCGTAAACATGCCTCAGGTCCAATCCTTCCACAGCCCACGTAAACACGCCTCAGGCTAAAAAACGATCAATCAATTCTCGACCCGCGTCAAGACGCTTCAGGTCCAATCCCTTTCCACAGCCCACGTCAAAACGCCTCAGGCTCAAAAACGATCAATCAATCTCGACCTGTGTCAACACGCCTCAGGTCTACTACACAACTCGCGTAAAAACGCCTCAGGCTGATAGTCTTCCGATAAAACCGGGCAACGTCCCACGTAACGCGCCTCAGGATGGGTTCCATTCCCCACGTAAACACGCCTCAGGGATTAGGTGATCACACATACATACATTTTCTATTTATTATCTGGACCCCATGTAAAAACGCCTCAGGGTGTTTAATGTTCGTGCAATACATCAAGCACCCGATCACATATCAATCTCATACAATCAATTTGCACACATCACCCAAGATATTCAAGCTACCAACGAGCCACATTAACTCAAAATTTCACCACTTCAACTTGCACGAGCACAATTAACACAATTTTTGCATTTTGCACCATATTTCATCAATCAAGAATGGTCGCACTTATGCCATCAACCCCGATTCACTAGGCAATCCATTTCACACATATTCATGCATTCAATCTAACCACACTAAGCACATCAATTCAGCCACGCCACGTAAATCACCAAAACATCACCTTTGAGCTCATTTTCCATGCTATGCTCATTACAATCGTTTCTAATCAATCCAACGATCAAATCAAACTATTCTAATCTCAATTTAACCTCTAAAAATATCACAATTTCACCCAAACATCACAGCCAACTCAGTCCGCTAAATTACCTTCGAACAACCCCAAAATTTCACCAAATCGCGCCCAAACTAACCTGAATTACCCATTATCCTAAGCGGGGTTTAGGATATCACTTACACGAGGTCCTACGCAAGATCAAGCACTCAAAGACAGCTGAACGAGAAGAAAACAGCAGCGGCAGCAGTTCCGAACAAAGAAGAGCACCGACGGCTCACGGCGGCGGTGACGGGTGGATGGTGGTGATGGTTGGCGTGGCCGGCTGGCCACAAGCACGGCAAGGAGAGGGGGAGGGTGGCTCGGCCAAGAAGAGAGGGAGAGAGAGGGAGGCGTGAGAAGTGAGGGGGAGACAGAGAAAAAGAGAGAAAAAGAAATAAAAAGCTAGTCAAAGTCTACCCCAAGAAAAATTACCATCTCGCCCTCCTCTCAACTTTCCATCTGACGGCTACGATTCAATCTTATCTTAAAATCGACTGCCAAGATCAACTCTCACCAAGAATATTTAAGGGTAAAACGGGAATTAAACAAAAAGGGTAGAGGCAAAATTGTCCAAAAATGTGGCTTCTAAAGTGGGGGTGAAATGCCCAATATGCCCTTCCACTTTTATACTTAGCCTTCACAAAGTCCCAGCGGCAAAATGGTGATTTTCCACTTCCAGTCAAAATTTCGATTTTCTGACGAATCTGAACAAATTCGAAGTTAGCCACGCTAATAATAACATCGTCCAGTTAATTGTCATGACTTTCGAAATTTTCGATACTCAAACTCGATCTCTAATTAATGGCTAAATCCAAATAAACGCGACTTAAGCGTATCTCAAACTAACGGGCGGCTTTCGGAAAAATTCGTATATTCAACCCGTGGTTGATACTCAATCGAGTCACGTTTAAGTAGACTTGAACCATGGTGACCTCGATTGTCATGTAATTGCGATGATCGATCACTAGTTCCTAAAAACGCGATCGTTCGAAATAAGTTTAAGGTCGTTCGCCAATATCATAATATGGCGAGACGGAATCACCCGCATTCCAATTATATGATATTAGTAAATCGATCCGTGATCATCCTTGGATTGGTTTATACTAGCCCAAAATATCACCTCGACAATCTTTATGATCGTAAGTCAGTCCATGATCAAGTTCTTTGGTCACGCGAATCTAATTCCCTAATTAGCCTTTTCCTAATGGTTAGTATCTCAAGAATGATCAGTTCTGGGCGAGATTTACTACAAGTGCATTAATGAAATCATGCATTTCATAGATTCCAAGTGGGTCGAAATTCGGAATGTCACAGAAAAAGTCTCATGATAATCAAAACCTTCCTGTTGCACAAATTCCTTCGCAACTAAACGAGCCTTGTATCGTTCAACGGAGCCGTTTGCATTGAATTTAATCTTGTATACTCATTTGTAGCCAATTGGCTTTCGATGTAGGGGTAACTGAACAATATCCAAAATATGATTTTCCATGAGGGCATTCAATTCAACCTCCATTGCATGCTACCATCGGGGGTCACGTGCTACTTCATAATAAGAAGACTGTTCTTGTTCTTCGGAAATGTGACTAATGCAACACATATGTTTTGATGATAGTCAATGAAATGAAACATATGAGGATACAAGGTATTGGGTACCTGGAGAATTCAATGTAGGACATATGCAGTCTTTAGTCCATGTGGGGGGATGAGTGTGATGCCCAGAACGTCGAGGATGCATAGTTCTTGTATGTTCATGAGCTAGAGAGGATGACTCATGATGAATCTGCGGTGGAGAAGTCATTGATGGATTAAGTTGGTGGATGTCCTGAGGTGATAAAACCAACGATTCATCTCCTTGGTTTAAGATTTCTGTCATGACCGGTACGTGTGGCTCAGGTGCAATGATTACATATTGAGAACCCACAGAGTCTTCTTCTGACAAAAATTGACTATGGTCGGATGCCAAAGTAGAGGATTATGATTAAGATGCAATCTCTTGGAATGGAAAAATGTCTTCGTGAAAGATAACGTCCCTGCTTACAAAGATATTCCATGTAGAAATCTTCATAACGTGATAACCTTTTTGCAGAGAAGGATATCCCATAAAAATACATTGTTTGGCATGGGGATCCACTTTATCTCAAGGGCCTAAAGTCGTTGCATAACATAAACAGCCAAACACTCTCAGATGATCAATCCTTGGCTGTTTTCCATGAAGCAATTCAAAAGGAGTTCGCCCATTAAGAATTTGAGTTGGTATGCGATTAATCATATAGGCTATCGTGATCACACAATCTCCCCAAAAAGTTTCAGGGATCGAAGCTTGATATTTGAGAGCTCGGGCTACTTCCGAGAGATGTCGATGTTTGCGCTCAACAATCCCATTCTATTGGGGAGTGTAAGTGCAAGAGCTTTCATGGAGCATCCCCTTGGAGGATAGGAAAGATGTAGATTAAGTAGTAAAGAACTCCCGTCCATTATCTGTACGAATTTGTTGGGCAGGTTTGATGAATTGATTCTTAATTAGAGAGGAAATTCGACAGATGAGAAAAAGTTTGACTCTTGGATTGCACAAGGAAAACCCGAGTAACGCGAGTATAATCATCGACAATAGTGAGGAAAAAACGTGAGCCATCACGATGGGGGGCATGATAAGGACCCTAGATATCTATATGAAGTAAGGAAAAAGCACTAGTGGCTCGAGATGTGTTGATTGGGAAGTGTGCCCGAGATTGTTTTGCCAAAGGGAAGATTGGACATTTGGAATAAGGAAAATGCGCACTATGACCCAAGAAATGATGAGAAATAAGATTTTTATTACTAGCAATGGCATTACAAGAAATGCTTTTACTTAATAATTCAAATCTTTTGTGAAACTAGTCCAAAAATATAGCCCTTGCGCAACACTAACCAAGCCCATTAGTCTGCCTGTCACGCCCCGAACCCCGCAAGCGCGCAACATCCTGCAATGGTCATTATGATGCGACGTCCTAGGACGCATCGCCGACCCAACATTTTATCTTTTGGTTACGCATGCGGAAGCTAAAAAAAGATTCACCCAGATAATAACAGTAAACAAGGATGGATAGGAAAACGGTTTACAACATCGAAATCAAAACACCATTTTAACATTTACTTGATTAACCCCTGGGAACATTTTTACAAGCCCACTTCAGGCATTTCCAAAAAAGTCTACAAAAAGATGTCAGGCTGGGGTCAATCTACTTCACCAAAAGTCAGCTTCCAGGCACCCCGAACCGTACTGGGTGCACCAACATGCTAAGGGCCTGAAAAATGTTTAACAACCACAAATGAGATAAAAATCTCAATAAGTTAACGCCTAAGCCCCGTTTAGAAGGTCAACTCACCTCGGGGGTCCCTAACCAGGCAATACAGCATCAACAGCAACATTATTAAACAACCACAGGCATCCTTACCTCGCCTTGGTACACTCGTTGATGAAATGAACATGTCACATACTCAAAGCATTTAAATAGATTTCCCATGCATCAATGCATCACAGGCGCGCGTGTCTCGATTATAAGACAGAATCCACTTGGACACGTCCCATACCATGCCTAGTAGTTTCTACCCTATAATCAAGCACTATGCATCACACGTATTCCAGTTATTATGCCCCCTCGGGCCACTACACATCAAGCGATCTGCAGCAAGATGGCAGTCTTCCGGCATAACCGGGCTCCGTCCTGCCCCATCGGGCACGGCTATGTCAAACGATCTACAGTAAGACGGCATTCCAATACGGCAACATCAAACGATCTACAGTAAGATGGTATCCCGTAAGGAGCATCGAGTCCGGCCTCGGGCCGCGACAAGGCATCCGGAGTATCGACAATCCATATAATCTCCAGGCATCCGATAAATCAGGCATCATCAAGCGATCTACAGCAAGACGGCTCCGACGTGTGACCACACGAGCACACAAGCAATCAGGCCAATTCTTATCTTTTCATTTAGTCAATACATCCATGAATCGTGCTCACATCAATGCCACACAACAATAACAAGTGGTCACACATGCAAATGGTCAATCGATTTTGTGAACCTCATTTTAAAACATGAATTCAACATCGGATCACAGCCAAATAAACATTATTGAAAAGCTAGGTAATTGCGGTTATTGTCTCTATTAGGCCGGAAATCAAAAGCCAAAGATTTCAAGTAAAGACCGGCAGTTATGGGATTCTAGTAAAACTGGACAGATTTGCATGATTTGGGAAATCAACTTCAAAAGCATAGCAATTGGTTTCCAAAAATTATAAAATTCAAACATGTTATAAAAAAGACCTTCACAAATATTTTCCATGAAGAACACAATCCCAAAATCCTTATACAAAGATCACTTTTGATGGCTCGGAAACAACCCAGAACTGGTCCGCCGGAACAGGGGAACTGAACCAAAAGAAATACTCGTTTTACAAATCAAATCCTTTCAAAACACTTTGAAATTTTTACACTTTGTAGAAATGGATTTCGTTTACAAATATTGTGAAGGAAGTATGGTCGAAATCGAAGTGGAAATTTTTATAAAAATCCGAATAGGCACGAAGGTCACGGAATCCACAGTATAAAACAATTCTGATTCGGTAAGAAATTGGACCTTCGTGTAACCCATTTGAGCTCAGAAAAATCTGAAATTTAACTATGTTATAGATCAAGATCTTGTGAACAACTTTTATGAAGAACACTTTTCAAGATTCTAACCACCAAATGCCTTATAAAAATGGAAAACCAGGGACGTACAGTAAAATCAGTTCTGAAATCAAGATAAAAACTCCAAGAAACGCCTTCAACTTTGAGATCCACCACTTCTCAGCCATGAAAATACCACACCAAGAGTTCAAATCAACATCCAACATCTATTTCAACTTAGTCTAGCAATCAAGACTCGCCCACGCTCATTCTAGAAGTTCAAACACACTAAAACATTAACTAGCTAAACTACCCAATGCAAGTTAAACATCCTAAACAAGGGATTAGATGTTAACTTACTCGTCTAAAAACGACGACAACGCGAGGACGACGGCAACGACACGAGTTGTCCGTGGTGGCCTCGGCTTGACACGGCAAGCGGCAAATGGCGGTGAACGGCACACGGCAATCTACGGGGCTCAAGGATGGTGGCGTGAGGGGCTGGTGGGTGCACGGCGGTGGTGGGGTGATTCGGCCGTGAGAGAGGGAGAGAGAGAGAATAAGAGAGAAAGTGAGGAGAGAGAGAAAGAGGGTTTAAATTTAAATCAAGATCAATGGTTGAGATTAGTTCTTGATGCCCAAGCAAAGATCAAGGGCTAGGATGTGTTCTTGATGCCTAAGTTTAATCCAACGGCCAAGATCAAGCCTTGCCCTCCAAGTTCCATCCAACGACCAAAATTTAATCTAACAAAGAGGTTTCTAGAAGGGCAAGTTAGCAAATAATTTTCGATGGCCAATTCGTAAAAATTATGAGGCGACGTCCTATAGTTCGGGTGTGATATCCTTGAGCACTCGACACGCGAAATCGGATCATAATTCGTGGCTGAAATCGATCAATCGCAACTGTAGTTTATCTCGAACTAACGGGTGGCTGCTAGAAATAAATTCTTCGATAGCCTTTCCCCTTTGGTTAGTATTCCCTGGGTGATCAGGCCAGAGCGAGAATTAACTAATAGAGCGTCGATGAAATCACCATTTCATAAATCACCAAATTTGGTCGAATTTTCAGGATATCACAATTCTTCCCCCCATAAAAAAATTTCTTCCTCGAAATTTGAATTTTCATCTAATTCCTCAAAAAGAAAGGGGTATTGACGCCTCATTATCTCTTCACTTTCCCACGTGGCTCCCTCGGTTCCATGATGTTGCCACACAACCTTGACTAGAGGAATAGTCTTGTTTCGTAGTACCTGCTCCTTTTGATCCTCAATTCTCACTGGTCTTTCCACATACGATACCCTGTCGTCCACGTCTATTTCTTCATAATTTAGAACGTGGGTCGGATCCGGCTCATATTTCCTTAGCATAGACACGTGGAATACATCATGTACTTGATCCAATTTTGGTGGCAAGGCTAGACGATATGCCAATAGTCCAATTCGCTCTAAGACCTCGAACGGTCCTACATATCTTGGGCTTAGCTTGCCTTTCTTGCCAAAACGCGAAGTTCCCCGAATTGGTGATACCTTGAGAAACACGTGATCTCCCACTTGAAACTCTAATGGTCTACGTCGCCTGTCTGCATAACTTTTTTGGCGACTTTGGGCCGTCTTTAGCCTATCCCTGATAACTTTAACAGCGTCCGACGACTGTTGCACCAACTCCGGTCCTGTGATCTTTCGTTCACCAACCTCATTCCAACAAATAGGGGTCCTACAGGGTCTACCATACAACGCTTCGAAAGGTGCCATTTTGATACTCTGCTGATAACTGTTGTTGTACGCGAATTCGACAAGATGTAACTGTTCTTCCCAACTTCCTTTGAAATCCAGAACGCAAGCTCGCAGCATATCCTCGAGAGTCTGAATCGTTCTCTCGGATTGGCCATCTGTCTACGGATGAAAAGCAGTGCTGTACTGCAGCTTTGTTCCCATGGCGCCTTGAAGACTCTTCCAAAATGTGGCGGTGAACTTGGGGTCTCGATCTGACGTGATCGTCACCGGCACGCCATGAAGACGAACTATATGCCTTACGTACAACTCAGCATACTTGTCCATGGCAAAATCCTTTCGCACTGGAATGAAATGAGCAGACTTTGTGAGTCTATCTACCACGACCCAGATGGAATCATTACCTCTTTGGCTCCTCGGTAGACCCATCACGAAGTCCATCGTAATATGCTCCCATTTCCATTCTGGGATTTCTAGCGGTTGCAGTAATCCACCAGGCTTACAATGCTGCGCTTTCACCTGTTGACACGTTAAGCATCTAGCTACATACTTGGCAATATCTCCCTTCATGCCATTCCACCAATAATATTGGCGTAGGTTCTGATACATCTTCGTGCTGCCCGGATGGATACTATAGTTACTGCGATGAGCTTCTGCCAAAATTTCCTCCTTAAGTCTTTCGTCATTAGGCACGCACAACCGTCCACGAAACTTTAAGATCCCATCTTCAGATATTTGAAAGTCAGGTTTTCTCTTAGCTGCGTCCATTTGTAAAATCTTTTGAAGTTCGAGATCGGAAGGTTGCGCTGCTTTAATCCTGGTTTGCATTTCGGGCTCAATCCTGAAAGTAACCATTAGACTCGAGAGGTGACTTACCTCAAACTTGAAATCCGAGTCTCGAATTCCTTCAAATAAAAGCCACTCTTGAACCATCATATGTGCAATTGAAGACTTCCAACTTAGCGCATCAGCTACCTTATTTGCCTTACCAGGATGGTATAGAATTTCACAGTCATAATCATTAAGCAATTCCATCCACCTGCGTTGCCTCATGTTCAATTCCTTTTGTGAGAACAAATACTTTAGGCTCTGATGATCCGTATAAATATGAAACCTTTCCCCGCACAAATAATGCCTCCAGATTTTTAGCGTAAAAATGATTGCCGCTAATTCCAAGTCGTGCGTCGGATAATTCAACTCATGTAGTCTCAATTGTCGAGATGCATATGCCACAACTCTTTCATGTTGCATTAAGACGCATCCTAATCCTTTGTACGATGCATCACTGTAAATTTCATAACCTCCTGATCCAGATGGTAATGTCAAAACAGGCGCAGTAGTTAACTTCTGTTTAAGCTCTTGAAAACTACGCTCACACTTATCCGTCCATTCAAACTTTGTATCCTTTTTCAGCAATCGCGTCAAGGGCATGGCTATCGTAGAAAACTTCTCCACGAACCTCCTATAATAGCCAGCCAATCCCAAGAAACTCCGAACTTCAGTTACCGTCGTTGGCCTTGGCCAATTCATAACCGCTTCAATCTTAGCTGGATCTACTGAAATCCCTTCTCCAGAAATCACATGTCCAAGAAAAGCCACTCGAGTTAACCAAAACTCGCACTTACTAAACTTGGCATACAACTTATGATTTCGAAGAGTTTGCAGCACTGTCCTCAAGTGCTGTTCGTGTTCCGCATAACTCCTCGAATACACCAGAATGTCATCAATGAACACGATTACGAACTTATCCAAATATTCCTTGAACACCCTGTTCATCAAATCCATAAAAGCTGCAGGTGCATTTGTAAGGCCAAACGGCATCACAGTAAACTCATAATGTCCATAGCGCGTTCGAAATGCCGTCTTCGGTATATCTTCTTTCTTGATCCTCAATTGGTGATAACCTGTCCTCAGGTCTATTTTCGAAAATACCGAAGCTCCTTGAAGTTGGTCGAACAAATCATCTATCCTTGGCAATGGATATTTATTCTTAATCGTCACCTGATTGAGTTGTCGGTAGTCGATACAAAGGCGCAACGACCCATCCTTCTTCCTTACAAACAGAACTGGTGCTCCCCAAGGTGATGCACTAGGAAGAATAAATCCTTTGTCCAATAACTCTTGCATCTGAACCTTTAACTCTTTCAGTTCCGCTAGCGCCATCCTGTAAGGTGCCTTAGAAATTGGCTCCGTACCAGGGGCCAACTCAATTACGAATTCTATTTCTCTTTCTGGAGGTAATCCAGGCAATTCTTGAGGAAAAACATATGAAAACTCATGTACTACAGCAATGTCTTGCATTCTCTGCTCTTCGACTAAGGTGTCAACTACAGTTGCCAAATAGCCTTGACAACCCTCATCCAACATCCGAGTAACTTCAAGTGACGAAATTAAAGGAATCGACGGTCCTCCTCGATTCCCAACAAACTCAAATCCAACACTCCCTAAAGGCTCAAACTGAATCGTCTTGCGGTAACAGTTTACCGTAGCTCGTTGTTTAGTGAGCCAATCCATCCCGATAATCACGTCAAAGTCAAACATTGTCAAGATAATCAAATCTATGCTATTCTCACGACCGCCAACAGATAGCTTACACCCAGCACAACCTACTGCGGAAACTACGCTATTCTTTAAAGGGGTAGAAATACTATAAACCACTCCCAATGGTTTCGAAGTTAATCCCACTAATTCCACAAATTGCTTAGCCACAAACGAATTCGTAGCTCCAGGATCAAATAAAGCATAAGCAGCATGGTCGTGTAACGATACCATACCTGTAATAACGGTAGGCGAATCGTCCGCCTCCTTCCTTGTGACAGCATAGACCCTTCCTTGTACTTGGGGTCAGTTCAACTGGTTCGGCGGGGCAGTCCTTGCAGGTTGTCCTACTTGCTGTCTTGGTTCTTGTGCTCCTATGGCTTGGCGTGGACAATCTCTTACGTGGTGACCGTGCTGGCCACATCCAAAGCAAGCTCCCGTCCTAGCAGGACATGGGGCTGATCCGTGGCGCCTTCCACAGAATCGACAGGGGCCATTATTGTTGTTGTACACCGACTTTCTCACGCCATTCTTCTTGTTATGAGGGATGGGAAACCTACCCCTAGTCATCGGTTTCTTCCCAAACCGCTGATTATCCTTGTTTGGCACAAACCGCGATCCAGACGCGGCTGCCTTATCAGCCAAGTTCCTCTCAATCAACTGTGCCCTCTCATAAAGTTCGTCATAATCCTTCAGATTCAGAGGCACCAACTGATCTTTGATTTCAGGCTTCAGTCCATCCCTAAACCTCCTTGCTTTATCAACCGGGTCTTCAATCAACCTCGGCGCATACTTGGACAATTTAGCAAACTTTGCCTCATACTAGTCTACCGACAATTGGTTCTGTCGAAGACGCTGAAATTCATTCATCTTCTGTTCTCTGGCACAATCCGAAAAGTACTTGTTGTTAAAAGCTTCCACGAAGGCACCCCACACCTGGGCCGTACCCTCGGGAAATACCCTCATTTGGGTAGCTTCCCACCAAGTACTAGCATTACCTTGCAACTGATAAACTGCCAATGTCACTTTATCTTCATCTGAGCACCTCAGCAAAGCAAACACCGTCTCCAACTCTCTAATCCAGAGGGTTGCAGCCTCAGAATCACCCGCACCAGTGAACTTGGGCGGTTTGAGCTTTAGAAATTGCTCTACCAACTTATGCATGGGCTGATTCCCATTTCCGTTTCGAGCCAACGGAACATCTACAGGTGCAGGTGCAGGTACAGCAGCAGCAGTGGCTTGGTTCTGAGCTTGCTGCCCTACCAAAGTCTCTAAAGCCTGCATAATCCGATCCAATCTAGGATCCTCTGGCGCTATCCCTCTAGCACCTGTCTGATTTGGCACAGTCCTTCTCCTAGGGGCCCTCGGGACAGGATTGCTCATTTCGTTAGATCTTTACAGAAACCTGCTTTCCAATTCCAGCAAGGAATTAGAAATCGTGAACAACCTGCTTAAAAATAAGGAACCTAACAATCAAGCACAGGCACAGAGTGTTTTCGTAACTTGCTATCCCAAAACCCCTCGCACCTTATCACTCCAGGTCTCGACCAAACTTGGACTCGAGCTGACCTTGCTCTGATACCAATTAAACTAGGATGTCACGCCCCGAACCCCGCGAGCGCGCAACATCCTGCAATGGTCATTATGATGCGACGTCCCAGGACGCGTCGCCGACCCAACATTTTATCTTTTGGTTACGCATGCGGAAGCTAAACAAAGATTCACCCAGACAATAACAGTAAACAAGGATAGAGAGGAAAACGGTTTACAACATCGAAATCAAAACACCATTTTAACATTTACTTGATTAACCCCGGGGAACATTTTTACAAGCCCACTTCAGGCATTTCCAAAAAAAGTCTACAAAAAGATGTCAGGCTGGGGTCAATCTACTTCACCAAAAGTCAGCTTCCAGGCACCCCGAACCGTACTGGGTGCACCAACATGCTAAGGGCCTGAAAAATGTTTAACAACCACAAATGAGATAAAAATCTCAATAAGTTAACGCCTAAGCCCCGTTTAGAAGGTCAACTTACCTCGGGGGTCCCTAACCAGGCAATACAGCATCAACGGCAACATTATTAAACAACCACAGGCATCCTTACCTCGCCTTGGTACACTCGTTGATGAAATGAACATGTCACATACTCAAAGCATTTAAATAGATTTCCCATGCATCAATGCATCACAGGCGCGCGTGTCTCGATTATAAGACAGAATCCACTTGGACACGTCCCATACCATGCCTAGTAGTTTCTACCCTATAATCAAGCACTATGCATCACACGTATTCCAGTTATTATGCCCCCTCGGGCCACTACACATCAAGCGATCTGCAGCAAGATGGCAGTCTTCCGGCATAACCGGGCTCCGTCCTGCCCCATCGGGCACGGCTATGTCAAACGATCTACAGTAAGACGGCATTCCAATACGGCAACATCAAACGATCTACAGTAAGATGGTATCCCGTAAGGAGCATCGAGTCCGGCCTCGGGCCGCGACAAGGCATCCGGAGTATCGACAATCCATATAATCTCCAGGCATCCGATAAATCAGGCATCGCCAAGCGATCTACAGCAAGACGACTCCGACGTGTGACCACACGAGCACACAAGCAATCAGGCCAATTCTTATCTTTTCATTTAGCCAATACATCCATGAATCGTGCTCACATCAATGCCACACAACAATAACAAGTGGTCACACATGCAAATGGTCAATCGATTTTGTGAACCTCATTTTAAAACATGAATTCAACATCGGATCACAGCCAAATAAACATTATTGAAAAGCTAGGTAATTGCGGTTACTGTCTCTATTAGGCCGGAAATCAAAAGCCAAAGATTTCAAGTAAAGACCGGCAGGTTATGGGATTCTAGTAAAACTGGACAGATTTGCATGATTTGGGAAATCAACTTCAAAAGCATAGCAATTGGTTTCCAAAAATTATAAAATTCAAACATGTTATAAACAAGACCTTCACAAATATTTTCCATGAAGAACACAATCCCAAAATCCTTATACAAAGATCACTTTTGATGGCTCGGAAACAACCCAGAACTGGTCCGCCGGAACAGGGGAACTGAACCAAAAGAAATACTCGTTTTACAAATCAAATCCTTTCAAAACACTTTGAAATTTTTACACGTTGTAGAAATGGATTTCGTTTACAAATATTGTGAAGGAAGTATGGTCGAAATCGAAGTGGAAATTTTTATAAAAATCCGAATAGGCACGAAGGTCACGGAATCCACAGTATAAAACAATTCTGATTCGGTAAGAAATTGGACCTTCGTGTAACCCATTTGAGCTCAGAAAAATCTGAAATTTAACTATGTTATAGATCAAGATCTTGTGAACAACTTTTATGAAGAACACTTTTCAAGATTCTAACCACCAAATGCCTTATAAAAATGGAAAACCAGGGACGTACAGTAAAATCAGTTCTGAAATCAAGATAAAAACTCCAAGAAACGCCTTCAACTTTGAGATCCACCACTTCTCAGCCATGAAAATACCACACCAAGAGTTCAAATCAACATCCAACATCTATTTCAACTTAGTCTAGCAATCAAGACTCGCCCACGCTCATTCTAGAAGTTCAAACACACTAAAACATTAACTAGCTAAACTACCCAATGCAAGTTAAACATCCTAAACAAGGGATTAGATGTTAACTTACTCGTCTAAAAACGACGACAACGCGAGGACGACGGCAACGACATGAGTTGTCCGTGGTGGCCTCGGCTTGACACGGCAAGCGGCAAACGGCGGTGAACGGCACACGGCAATCTACGGGGCTCAAGGATGGTGGCATGAGGGGCTGGTGGGTGCACAGCGGTGGTGGGGTGATTCGGCCGTGAGAGAGGGAGAGAGAGAGAATAAGAGAGAAAGTGAGGAGAGAGAGAAAGAGGGTTTAAATTAAATCAAGATCAATGGTTGAGATTAGTTCTTGATGCCCAAGCAAAGATCAAGGGCTAGGATGTGTTCTTGATGCCCAAATTTAATCCAACGGCCAAGATCAAGCCTTGCCCTCCAAGTTCCATCCAACGACCAAAATTTAATCTAACAAAGAGGTTTCTAGAAGGGCAAGTTAACAAATAATTTTCGATGGCCAATTCGTAAAAATTATGAGGCGACGTCCTATAGTTTGGGTGTGATATCCTTGAGCACTCGACACGCGAAATCGGATCATAATTCGTGGCTGAAATCGATCAATCGTAACTATAGTTTATCTCGAACTAACGGGCGGCTGCTAGAAATAAATTCTTCGATAGCCTTTCCCCTTTGGTTAGTATTCCCTGGGTGATCAGGCCAGAGCGAGAATTAACTAATAGAGCGTCGATGAAATCACCATTTCATAAATCACCAAATTTGGTCGAATTTTCAGGATATCACACTGCCAGTTAAAAGGTCTTGAAAGAAACAAATTTTAGAATTGAATATGGCATGACAAGAATTATCCTTGCAAGCTTTTAAAATAGATAAGAAATTCCATTCAAAATCAGGGATATATAGGAGATTTCTGAGGATAATATTTGAACTGAGATGAACGGTGTCAATTTTGATAACATAAGTGATGTTCCCATTTGGAAGCTATATAGATATGGAAGAGTGGGGTCTCTTTTGAACATTAGAAAATAATTTCTCATTACAAATTATGTGGTCACTAGCACCCGGATCAATTATTCATGCATCAACTGATATTGAATTCGTCTTGCAAAGTAAGGTACTTGAAAAACTTGCAGTCTTGTCACTAGTCAATAATCGACTCAGGGCCTTCATAATATTTTGGTACTAATCTTGGGTAATTATTTGGAGCGCCCCATCAGTCCTTTGCGCTAAAACTAGGTAAGCAAAAAATACTTTTTTCCCTTTTTGTCTTTATCATTCGGCTTTCCATGTAGCTTCTAGCATGTATCAATAGTATGATATGAACTTTTACAATATTCACAATATTTACCTTTGGTTTTTGAATTTTTCCCATTAGATTTCTCTGTCCACGTGGCATTTCATGGGCCGTTGGATGGCCTATATGCTGGCGCCGACGTGGCCCGATAGAGGCCGTTGGATTCGTGCAGATGAATAACAGCCATATGATCCTTTCTGATCATAGCCGTCCGTTCGAAACCCTTTAGGGTTTCCATCTCCTTCAATCTTCGCAACCTCTACTCGTGAACACCCGACGCTCCCAAGCCCTCCATAGATGATGTGCGGCGAGTCGGCTGGAGCAGGGCCTATTAGGAAGACAGCGAGGGTCACTCCTTCACATGTTCTTGCATGCTCGGCCATGACCAGCCGTTGGCTTTCCTCTTGGACGGCCAATTGATAGATCCGGCCGAGCATCAGCATCGGCTCCATCACCAGGATCTGCGATCGAAAAGGTGAGTATGTCTCATTCAAAATCAGCAAAAAACGAGTTACTTTTTCACTTTCTTTCATCGCTTAGTATTGTTGGAGCGTGGTCTCGGGTCCTTCGAGCTGTTCTTCGGCCATCTCAAGCTCGTTCCACAGAGCCGAGAGTCAGTTGAAGCAAACGGTAACCAAAAGATTCCCTTGCTTCAATTATGACAAGGCTTGAGTGATTGTGAACAGCTTGGCTCGATCGAGCCGCACATACATCTTGCAAATGTTTTCGTACATTTTCTTCAAGTCCTCGGTTGGTGGGAGTCCAGCCGCAATGTCGGGAGCGAGGCAATTTCTGATCCAAGAGCAAAGCAACTAGTTGCACTTCCGACGGTGCCGCTGGAGTTGTTCGTCGGCCAAAAAAGGGACGGCTCCGTTGAGGAAGCCATCCTTGTCTTTTGTGACAAGGGCTTGCCGAAAATCTCGGGCCCAAGCGTTGTAGTTATCCGGTCCGGTGAGTTGTAGGTTGATGAGCCGCAGCTCTGGCCCGTCGGTCGGTGACATGTAGAGTGGGTTGCCGGACTCGGGGCGGCCGCCATTGACTGGAAACACGTAGGGCAGGTTTTCGGGTTGGACAACCGGGGTAGGGATTCATCCCTAGACCCAGTGGAATGGATCTGGGTGCGTAACTCGGAGCTGTCCAACCCGGTCTTCCATTCGGGTTGGTCTCATGCGGAAGGGGAATTGGCCCACCTCCATTGGGCTGAGTTCCAAGGCCTGGAATGCTTTCCTATCCATGTGGGCCATGCTGGGCAAACGTCTGACCTGGCCCGGTTGGCCATTGATTTTGAGCTGGATACCAGTAGACTAGAGGCCCCTAGGTTGGGCTGGGAATCTGAGCTGGAGCAGGAGCAAATTCGTCCGAGTGTTGAACAGAAGACTGTTCCTCTTCATTCATTCGGATCAACTAAATTTAAGGCTTGGTGTTTTGGTGAGTTGGAAGTTTCCTCCATTGAAGTATCGCTTGTATAAAAAAAAAATTGAATTCTTACTCGGTGTTCTGGCTTGTTTTGCAGGATTGAGATTGCAACAAGAAGTCAGAAAAATAAACCGGCGGTAATTCTAGGATCGCGGAAGCTAGGCCAGGATGGACTTCTCTGATACCAAGAAAGGAATTGAAGAATATTGGAGGAATTGTAATTATATTACTGTATATTGTGTACATGTACATTGCTCTATTTATAATGCTAGAAAGAAAGGTGAAAAACAGGAAAATAATATACAAGATTACATTTTCCTATTTTACCACACCAATCACGGATTGACTGAATAAATTAGTTCAAAATCAGAATCAGTATCTCAATCAGAATCGATTCATATCTCCAATGATATCAAACCATGTTTCCAACAAAAACTGCTATCGATTCTATCAGACAGTAATCCTAGAATCATCTTACCTAATGCGACAGTGAGAGCGATCAAATCAGGCCTGGACTTCAATTGGTGGTCCATCTAACTGCACAATTCTGACGCCTCTCTTCCTGCTGAAAAACTCCACTGCATCACTGCCTCTATCTTGAGCCAGCCATTAACACCTTTGCTGGTACCTAAACAGAACCATCATCCCATGGTTCCGTCTGAAAAGACATGTCAATATCTCCTAGCGAGTAATTCATCGCAGGAACCGCAACGTTGACTTGGAAATCTTCCATCTTGTGATCGCCTTCAGGACGAGGAGCATAGAGTGGTGGTTCAGAGGGGAGATGATGCTCATTTACTGCAGAGTCCATTTGCCTCCAAGGATCGAACATTTGGCTACGCATGGCATCCTGTGAAATGTTGTCAAGGGACTGTACTGGCAATCCGAAAGTAGTAATACCATTATCTCCCGGAGAAAATAGACCATTCAAGCGGTCTGTAGATATGGGAGGAGCACTTTCATCAACTGGAAACTCCATGGCATCCCCACAATTGGTATTTTGTGACTGTACTGGCAATGGCAAAGCAGTTACACCATTATGTCCTGGAGAAAGAACTAGAACATTGATATGGTTAGTAAATATGGACCAACATGGGCACGGGTGTACGATCTTTTAAAAAAAAATTCGAATATATGGTTATGAGCTTTTACCATTTTGGAAGCTTGATATTGAGGCATAGGTTGGTGTAGAGGGGAGAACATGCTCATTTACTGTAGAGTCTATTTGCCTCGAAGGATTGATCATTTGGCTAGGCATGGCATATTGTAAATTGATATCATGGGGCTGTGTTGGCAATCCGCTAGTAGTGATACCATTATCTCCCGGAGAAATAAGACCATTCCAGTTGTTTGCAGATATGGGCTGATGTGAACTAGGACGAGCAATTTCATTAGCTGAAAGCTCCATGGGATTTCCAAAATAGGTATTTTGGGACTGTACCGGCAATAGCAAAGCAGTTACACCATTATTTCCTGGAGAAAGAACTAGAACATTAATGTGGTTAGTAAATATGGGCCGACATGGGCACGGGAGTACGATCTTGTAAAAAAAATCGAATGAATGGTTATGAGCTCTTACCATTTTGAAAGCTTGATATTGCGGGAGAGGTGGGCCTAGACGGGAGAACATGCTCATTTACTGTAGAGTGCATTTGCCTCGAAGGATCGATCATTTGGCTAGGCATGGCATATTGTAAATTGATATCATGGGACTGTGTTGGCAATCCGCCAGTAGTAATACCATTATCTCCCGGAGAAATTAGACCATTCCAGTTGTTTGCAGATGTGGGCTGATGTGAAGTGGAACAAGAAATTTCAATAGCTGAAAGCTCCATGGGATTTCCAAAATAGGTATTTTGGGACTGTACCGACAATGGCAAAGTAGTTACACCATTATGTCCTGGAGAAAGAACTAGAACATTAATGTGGTTAGTAAATATGGGCCGACATGGGCACGGGTGTACGATCTTGTAAAAAAAATCGAATGAATAGTTATGAGCTCTTACCATTTCGAAAGCTTGATATTGTGGGAGAGGTGGGTCTACACGGGAGAACATGCTCATTTAATGTAGAGTGCATTTGCCTCGAAGGATCGATCATTTGGCTAGGCATGGTATATCGTAAATCGATATCATGGGACTGTGTTGGCAATCCGCCAGTAGTAATACCATTATCTCCCGGAGAAATTAGACCATTCCAGTTGTTTGCAGATGTGGGCTGATGTGAAGCGGAACGAGCAATTTCATTAGCTGAAAGCTCCATGGGATTTCCAAAATAGGTATTTTGGGACTGTACTGGCAATGGCAAAGCAGTTACACCATCATGTCCCGGAGAAAGAACTAGAACATTGATATGGTTAGTAAATATGGGCCAACATGGGCACGGGTGTACAATCTTATAAAAAAAAATTCGAATATATGGTTATGAGCTTTTACCATTTCGGAAGCTTGATATTGAGGTACAGGTTGGTCTAGAGGGGAGAACATGCTCATTTACTGTAGAGTCCATTTGCCTTGAAGGATCGATCATTTGGCTAGGCATGGCATATTGTAAATTGATATCATGGGGCTGTGTTGGCAATCCGCCAGTAGTGATACCATTATCTCCCGGAGAAATAAGACCATTCCAGTTGTTTGCAGATGTGGGCTGATGTGAACCAGGACAAGCAATTTCATTAGCTGAAAGCTCCATGGGATTTCCAAAATAGGTATTTTGGGACTGTAACGGCAATGGCAAAGCAGTTACACCATTATGTCCTGGAGAAAGAACTAGAACATTAATGTGGTTAGTAAATATGGGCCGACATGGGCACGAGTGTATGATCTTGTAAAAAAAATCGAATGAATGGTTATGAGCTTTTACCATTTCGAAAGCTTGATATTGCGGGAGAGGTGGGTCTAGATGGGAGAACATGCTCATTTACTGTAGAGTGCATTTGCCTCGAAGGATCGATCATTTGGCTAGGCACGGCATATTGTAAATTGATATCATGGGGCTGTGTTGGCAATCCGCCATTAGTAATACCATTACCTCCCGGAGAAATAAGACCATTCCAGTTGTTTGCAAATGTGGGCTGATGTGAAACGGGTCGAGCAATTTCATTAGATGAAAGCTCCACGGGATTTCCAAAATAGGTATTTGGGGACTGTACTGGCAATGGCAAAGCAGTTACACCATCATGTCCTGGAGAAAGAACTAGAACATTAATGTGGTTAGTAAATATGGGCAGACATAGGCACGGGTGTACGATCTTATAAAAAAAATCAAATGAATAAACGCCTTCATATAGTGCGGAAACCAAATCATAAGGATCGGAAACACGTTGATTTTATTTATTAAAGCTCAACAATCAAGCGGAAAGTCCTATTTTCATCATTATTTCACAGGCCACATCTTTTATGTGCTTATAGGGAGAGAGAGTTTTGTGTTTTGGAGCACGTACCTTTAGCAGTGGAGCCCGCATTCGCCAGAGGAACTTCCGGACCAACTGGAGGACAGGTTCTTGGAGCCAAATTATGTTGAACAGGGGTGAGATTTTCAATGTGTCCTTCAGGGACTTGAGATGGAAAAGAGCTTGAGGCTTTCCCGATTGTTTCTCCGTGGTTCTGGAAGAAAAACACTCAGTATTGAAGGTACACGCTCCGACTTCAAGCTACAATTTCTTTTTACGGCAAGTAACGTTGCTTTGTAATGGATGAATTTGCATTCAGAGTAAGTACGTAGGGCAGCATAGAGAAGAAAAAATAAAAAAAAAATTATTGAAAGAACCTCAATTCACTTTACGCCTATCGCCGCCCATTTTGAAGGGTCGTATCGAGAACCGAAACAGAACGATCACGCAGAAAACAGAGAAAATAGACGATGCACGAATTTACCCAGGTTCACCCTCGATTAGGGCTACGTTCTGAAAAGAGATTTCACTATGTTTTTTTCGGTTTACAGTCACTCAACTCGTTACAATGATCAGAAAAACGAGCAAAATATATATATGCCCCAAACGGGCCCAAAACTTAAACCTATATGAAATTTCTTAATCTCGCACCATACGGGCCAGCCCAAACCCACTAAGGTTTCGGGGGCGCTGCCCCCGAGCCCCCGCCCGCTCACCGGCGAGCGGGGCAGCCGTCCGCTGATCGGGCAGCGGAACCCCCGTCGGGGGGCGCTGCCCCCGAACCCCCGCCCGCTGACCGGGCAGCGGGGCACCCGTGTCGGGGGCGCTGCCCCCGCATTCCGCACGCATGGGTCACATTTCGTCCGATAACACTTCAGTTTCCCTAAGCTCACGTGGGCGTACCCGGTGTGAGAAACAAGGGTTATTCGCCAACTCTAACACATTTCTCACCACATAAAGGTCAGGTGCTTGAAAGATGAAATGAAGAGTACAATCAAGGCAAGGGTCCTCAGGGAAAAGACGCAAAGTTGATTTTGAAAGGACAAGTGAAGAATTAAAAAGCATCAACTCGTACAGTTTTAAACTTGGAAAGTAATAGTTGCATCGTGAATGTTTCAATCGTTCAAACTACAACGTGATGATGAGTGCCTCAGATTTTCATGAATGACAGCGAATCAACTGCTGAAAGTGCTCTCTAACTTGTGCTTTTTGGTATAATTTTTACTACGCAGTACAGAAGGCCACTTAGATTTACAAGGTCACTATCCTCAACTTTGGAGACTTTTCATTGGTGGGGAAATGCCCGTTTTTATATAATTGAAAGGTGGTTGAAAATCTTACACTTTTGGTATGATGGAAAGTTATGGGTGCATGTAAATGCTTTAATCGACATTGTAGATTACTTGTCTTGTCAATGAGCTCTCTTGGTGCTAAGCATTTTCCTACCTGGGTTTCTCCCCCCACCCCCCCCCCCCCCCGCCCCGGTCCCTTTTGGTAGTATTTCCTTTTACCAATCAAAAAAAGGGTCAGCGAATATCATCAGGCATACTCTCTTTTGTGTTTGTCTTTGTTTTTTCCCTTGGCATTTACAAAGCTAATTGAAACAGCTTAGCAACAAAGACCCATTGTTAGGAACTCAAAATTGCAATCATCAACAGAGAACAATCATTAATGCAACATAATCAAATGCACCTAATTGTTAGAAACCTATCCTTGATCGATTGTATGCTATATTGAACTACCTCAATTCATTTGTAAATCACAATAAAAGGTGTTACATGAGCTGACAATAGAGAGTAAATTTAACGGATACTCTGAGGTCACGGGCTATCCCTCGCAGATTGCATAGCAAATATCAGAAAGAGTAGTATTTCTCAGTTACCTCCTGCTTGAGAGGAAATTTGCCAGCAGCACGATGCACCCGATCTGCAGTATGGTCAGTGAGTTGACGGCCATTGTCACCTTCATTATCGATAAACACGTGACGGTTCCCATTCAGAGGGCAAGTTTCTTTTGCATGACTTAGGAGGTCATCCCACTTATTTTTTGTCATCTTCTCTCCGAGAATCTGCAATGAACAAACACAACATCATTCTTCTTGGTTTCAGGGAGTTCAATCCAAATTTGAGAACCCTGTGCTAAAAATCTCACATTTCGCAGTTTCTCGGGGTCCGTGTCGAGTAGCTGTAAAAACTTTCCCACGTTGCATATTCCAGCTTTACTCAGGTTCGTGTGAAATGTTCCATTCCTCCCAATATTTTTCAATCTCCAGACCTCATCACCATGTGTAGGTGGAAAATGTTTCTCGTTCGCTATAAAGTGAAAAGGACATATTAGAGCAAGAAATTGCAGTAACGCTAAGATCAACAAGCCAAACAGAACTTTTTGTGCAACGAAAACTCTCTTTACTACTGTCCGAAGTACTGAGGTAGATTAAGATTAAGAAGGCGTTACTCCTTTCTTCAGGAAACAATCTAGAAACAGGTCGATTAAATTCTATATTTAGATTTGTTACAGGTCAGTCAAATTGTTAGTTGGCTCTTGCTTTCAGATAAAGTAAGGCTTCACTAAGAAATGAAGCTTTATTTTGTAATTACCATGAGGGTAGTAGAATCTAAACATATTTATTTCTTAGAGCTAAAAGATAAAGACTACTATGGACTTACCCTGTCCTCTACTTTCCTTCACAGTGAATGGCTCCGTTATCGCTTCACAGATATTCTCACAATATCCAGGCGATGCCTGTAATCCTATCCTGAACCCGATCCTAGTCCAGCTTGAATTGTCGGTGAACCATACATCACCCAGCACCCCAGTGCCTCCTTTAAGAGTCACTACAGGGTTTCCATTAAGCAGAGGCCTCTTCCCTTCGCGTTCTCTGACTACAGATTTCTCAAATTCTTCCTGGGTCCAGTTATCATAAGCACCTGTCCCGAAATCACCGTCAAGCACCACAACTTTTAACTTAATAGAGGACTCTGGACCTGATTCGACAATATTGCCTGTGTTTGCATTTACTAACACGACAACAATGGGCCCGCCGTGCTCTCCTTTTAGTTTCTGCCCAGTATAGAGAGAAGAGGGTAGGCTGGTTTTGAATTGAAGCTGCAAGTTTCTCCCCTCATCCTTCTTTCGACATTTGCCAGAAGATCTGTATTAACTCATCAATTAGCATTATAAGGCATTGAAAGACCCAAGCTCAAGCAAGAAAAATGTGCTGCTTGGAAATAAGGAAGTGATCAAAAACTTACCATAGGAATGTGATAAGGCCGAAAGTTTTTCTTCGAATTTTACTGTGTTCTAATTGACCTTGGTTCAAACAAGGACGAACGGAAATCGTTCCACAAACTAGTTTGATGAATCATTCCAGTTTAACGAGATTGGCTTTCAAAGTGCTCGAGGCAAAACTACAACACTTATGGTCACTGCCCAAATGGCCTTTTGCATATGATTGTTAAGCAAAGTACTGTTACTGCCCAAATGACCTTTTGCATATGATTGCTAAACTTAATCAAATGACATTACAGTATTTTTTTAACTAAGGCATGAGATAACAGTGTTTGCACTAGTCAAAGGCCAAATCAACATCAAGCTTAACGTCTTTCGGCCTGACATCACCTGAGCTAGAGTGACATGAGCCCAACTGCAGGATCATTTACCTAAAACTAATGGCAATGAATTTCGTTTAATATTTTCTATCCATGTTTGACCATATAAAAGCATAAACCCGGTGTACTACCCATGTACAATTCTTTCAATGTTATGGGCTTAGGGGATCCCAGATGTATGGTATTTTGTGTGAAGATGTCATAGACAAATCAGCTTGACAGGAATCATCAAACCACCAAAGGAATTAAAGCATACTCTAACCTTACAAGTTGAGGAGATTGAGAACTTGCGTGCTCCAACCTTTCCCTTACCTGATGAAATTCACCGATAATGAGGATGCGCAACCGCATACAACAAAGCTACGACGAACTCTCTTTTCTTTTCTTTTTTTCTTTTTTTCTTTTTTTTGGAGTTGGGGGTTGGGGGCGAAGCATCCTTATTTGACGTTTTCAAACTTTTTTAATAGCAACTTGTTGAGCACAACATCTAGCCAAAATTCCTTAGGTCCATTGAAGAACAATGAACAAGCAATTACACAGTTGCAACAGAGAGTTATCTCGCACCTCTAGGTATTCTCTACATACACACTTATGTTGATTTCGGGTTTAGGTAATTTTTTATTGAAAGGTCGTTTGAGCTTATTCAGGGATTATGGCATGGGTTACTTCAATGCCATAGCGCCTGAACCTCTTTTTATCATTGTAACCCCGTCTGCTTTGAGGGTGGATGGTAATTGAGGTTTCCCTTCTCTCTATGTCTGTGGCTCAAGTAGACAATGGAGATTGATTATTTATCAGCACATTTAGGCAACCTGAAGGGATACATTTCGCACTTTCAAACATCTCATTGTCAATGTGCACATGGTTATCAAAATGGTTAGGATGATGCATGTAAAACCTAGAGCATTTTCTAGGAGAATAATCATTGTACATACAACCTCTTAAAAGATGCCACTCAGATACTAGAATTTGGATCTCAAAATTGCTATTACTCCAAGCAAAAGATTCATGACAACAGCTTTCCATATATTGCGGCATTTTCATTGGCAACTGATGAGTTGGTAATGCAATTCTAACCCCTTCATAACCAATAGATGAACATGAACTACAAAAATATGTACAGTCTACAAAGTAGTAATCTACATGATTCTTACCTCTCTCTCAATGGTATCATCCTTCACCAATGAGAGAATCGGTTGCACTATTTTATCCAGGATGTGACTGCATGAAGAAAATTAGTAGAGCAATTGGAATCTAACAGAGTTGTTATGGTGCAAACAAGTATATGGATAACCATAACTCTAACACCATCTTTTCACTAATACTCTATGCTACAGACAAAAACAACTTCAGTTTCACGAAATGGATGCTGTTGAACCTCCAAGATCTTGCACTTCAAGTGTGCATGACTGAAATCAAGTTTTAAACTAGATTTGGATGAATTCTCCCGAATTCATGTCGCATTTCGGATGGAACCAAGTTGATTTTTGTGACTTTGCGGCAGGTGAAAAGGATAATCAGAGGCTGAGAAGAAGTGAACATCTTAAAGAGTACAGAGAAGTAAACAGGATGCAGAGGCATATATAGATGAGGCCAAATCCTATCATAGTAGGAAAAGCTTAAATACTGTTATGGTGGTAAGCAAACAGGTTTCTTGACCTAGTCTGTATTAGCTTTTTAACTCTTCCTTTTTCCTGAGAAACCCAATAACTTGTGTTCTACTCATAAATCGTAATGATGTGCCAGAAAATTTCACAGCACAGTAGCACGATAAACATAGACAATTGTTGTTTCTCCAAATGAAAAGTATTGGTACCTCATAATAAGATCAGCTAAGGGAGGCACTTGACGCTCCAATTCTTCCCTGACCTGTTTAACATTTACAATAAGTGAGAATGAGATTACTATCAAGCATGATCTATCACACTAGGGAATCCACTTTATATAAGTTGCATTCTTTATCTCTAATTCTTTTTCGTCTCCTCCCTCAAGCAATTCGGCAGGTGCAACATCTCATCAGTTTCACAGTTGACGTACAACATACCTAAACAAAATTTTGCTTCATTGGAATGTCTCACAATCAGCATTATTTTAGAGCTGACATGAACACGACATGACCAGCCTAAAAAATGTCCCACAAAGTGTGGCATCACTCCTAATGAAATGTGGGGTACTAGGGGAGTTCTAATGTCCTGCATCTGATCAAAAACAAACCAGCAGATGAAAATGCAATGGATCATTTGATCCCTCATCACTGAAATCAGCAAATGACACGGAAATGGCATTGACAAATAGTTTGCATGACGGGAAACGATTACAACTTCTACTCATCTTACCACTTTCTGGATTTCCTCTTCAGTCAAGTAACTCTTGGGCACGTCATCACTTTCAAGTCCTCTTGACGTCTCACTGCAGAACCATAATCAGTCTTTTAGCAACCATGTTCACAGGAAAATACATCACTCTTCACAAAAGATATATATATATATATAAATATATATATCACGTAATCTTATACGGTGCGAGAAGATGGATCTATATCTATGAATAACACAACAAACCACGACTCTGCAACCTCTTCGGACAAAATTTTCCGACAAGTTTAGGCAAGCCAGAAACATTCGGAAGAAAAGTTACTAAGAGGAATGCCTGAGGCGAAGTGCCAACTTGAGTGCGAAGATCGGACAAAGTTTGAATTGGAGAAGAACCTCGTTTTATTCAACTTTCATCCAAAAGAAATGAAAGAACTGGGAGGTACATATTTCGCACGGTTCTGTAAAGGCCTAAGCTTTTGGTTCAATGCGGAATTGGGTTCCTCGAGGAACGGGATTCCAATTCCTACATTTTTCATGTTTGAAGAAAAATCAAAATGTAAATTTGGATTTCACATGAATTAATCCTAAAAGAGTGTCAAATCGCATTACCTAGCAATAGTTAGTATTAAAATTCCAATTCTATATTCCTACGGCCACAAAACTATCAAAATCCCAACTCCATCACTGTCACCGCCACCGCCTCAACTGCTGCCAGTGGCTGGTCTCCAATAGCCAGGTCGCCAACCAACGGTTGCCACATCGGTGAGAAGTTTTCTTCTCTAAAAGGCCAATTTTTTTTTATATCCAAACAATTGAAAAGGAAAGAATGACATTACTTGGAATACGAATCTACTCATAGCTGGTATAGATGAATAAAGGCGGCCCACTGGAACTGAACAGAGCTATTCTCTAGTTCATGGAACCAAATGAGGGTGCAAGACGAAATACAAGGTCTTGGAGGACCAAGGGATTGCAAATTGGATGGACTAACTAACCAGAAATAGGAGTGGTCATCCGATGTTAAACAGAGATCAGCAATGTCGCGACAAAAATAAAAGGTAAAAACAAAAATAAAGAGATCAAAGAAACATCAAAAACACCAAGTAAAAACCAAAACACAACCCAAAGGAAATGCAAGTCCAGCAGCAAAAACAGAGGATAACAAAGAGGTTACTTGTCCAATGGATCCAAATGCTTCCCTTTAGAATGGCCTGCCTTGCGGGATCCTGGAGTACGCGAGCGAGGTGTGACTTTTCGTCCCATGCTTGTTTTGCCTTGTTCACTTGATTAGCAGTTTAATGTATGAAAGAAGAAGGAGAACATGTATGAGATCTATGTATATGGAAGAAGGGGGAGGAGGAGGAGGAAGAAGTGGATGGTTTGCGCCTTGCCAAGCTGATCGGATTATATACAGTTGTTTGGTTCTTGAAGGGGTGAGTATACTTGCAGTCCCCTCGCTTGCACGACGCAGGAGCAAATCGAAGTCCAAAATTTGTTTTTTTGGTCAAAGAAGTCCAAATTAATACGGGGAGGACGACAACGACGGGAGAGGGGGAAGCTGGAGCCTGGAGCGGAAGGATAAGGCAGGCACATAAATTTCCGGGAAACTTCAGGTACATTGCGCGAACGATGCCTTTTTTTGAATTTGTTTCTTTTCTTTTCTCCCATTTTAAAAAGGGTTAATATCGCAAAAAACTCTGAATAAATACACCTATAATAATTTTACCTCGAACTAATTTTTTTACCACAAAAAACTCCAAACTGGTACATTTGTGACAAATTTACCCCGAACTATTTTTTTTACCATAAAAAATCATACACTGGTACACTTGTGATAATTTTACCCCGAGCTAATTTTTTTATCACAAAAAATCCCAAACTGGTACACGTGACAATTTTACCCAAAACTAATTTTTTGACCATTAAAAACTCTAAACTTGTATATTTATGACAATTTTACCCTCCGTTAGTGTACATTAATTGGATTAATATCACGAAAAAGTACAAATTGGTAAACTTGTGATAAACAGAGAGGTAAAATCCCAAACCGGTACACTCATCAACTATTATGTGTCATCAAGCTTAACAATTTCATAGAAACTAACGGAGAGTAGATTTGTCACAAATGTACCAGTTTGGGGTTTTGGTGGTAAAAAAATTAGTTCAAGGTAAAATTGTCACAAGTGTACCAGTGTAGGGTTTTTAGTAATCAAAAAATAGTTCGGGGTAAATTTATCATAGGTATACTAGTTTAGGGGTTTTGGTGGTTAAAAAAATAGTTTGAGGTAAATTTATCACAAGTATACCAGTTTGGAGTTTTTCTTGGTATTGACCCTATTAAAAATTTGCCCCCTACCTTAAGCATGAGAAGCTGATGGGCAATTTTTTTTGTTTGCTTTTTTCCGCCTTTTGCCTAATAAAAATAAATGAGTTTTTTTTTCCTTACCAAAAAAAAAAATAAATGAGTTTTTTTTCCCCTCAATGCGAGTTTAAGGCCAAACCAATCCTTTGAGCTCAACCCCGATTGATGGCTGACATGCTCGAATCTCAGTTGTCATCTATGTGTAGCTTTGAACAAGCGATTGGAAAATTCATTTAATCGCATCTAATCATGTGTGGCCAAAATTATAACAACTAACAAATGCGTGTTATGGTTATCTATCAAGAAAATATGTGTACTCTACATCAATCTCAAGAACATCAGAGGCGAGTTTAATATGGCTCTTCATCAAATAAATGATGTCGAAATGATTTATTGTTGCTTCGTCAGATTCTTCATAAGGTTTTTCTTCATATGTTTAGAATGTCACATGTAGTGTACTGGGGTAAAAGCATTTCGATTATGGAAACTCGCTAGTTTTCTTATCCGTGCTTTGCATAAGTTTTCTAATGCAAAGAGATGATTAAGTGATTCTTGATGTCATCTTACCAGGTTAATCCTGTTTAATAAATTATCCTATCTTGCTTGTTTGTCTGTGCTAATATTGCCGCCAAGGATGGAAAAGGCCCAAGAGCAACCTCGTGCCGGGGAGCTGTTCGATGGAGGATGATGTCTGGAGAGCGGTAAGATGAGTAAAGAAGCCAGCTTGGACATGCAAAATACAGTCTTTATTGTATTTCGATAGAGAAAGAGGGAGAGATAGCGAGGAATTACTGAAATTACTCCTCGAATAGATTTGGATGTGAACTGCGACGATGTTGTCTTAGTATATTTTTACTTGAAATGAATTAGTTAGGTGAAGTGGGGGTTGTGGATCATAGGAAGGTTATGGGAAATGTTGCTTGCATGCATGCTCGATTTGTAGTTTGCAGGATCTATGTTGGCCACCGTTGTCTTACTCTAAGAAAGCTCAAACATGCGTGGGCATCACTGTAAATATGCTATCTTGCAAAATTAGCAACTTTATCTCATGTTCTTTTTTATACCAGTAATGATCCCACGTGCATTGCACGCGAATGGAAGTTGTTGGAAAATCTCTATCGCACGCGTCAAGTTGGCTACCCTCCAATTTTAATTCCGGTCATCCACATTATGGTTTACAACGTGGCCCAAACATTGAAGCACACTGCTGAAGCAGCCGGTCATCGCGTCGACATGGAACTATCAATACTAATCAAACTATTAAAATTTTAATTACATTATTCTAATTAAGCGTTGTGAAAAAAATCCCATAAAAATGTCTAATCAATCAATCATCTTGCATGTCAACGTCACCTAGCTTAAAAGTTAAAACCCACTTCTTAATTTTGTCTCACTAAATCAAATTTGTCCAAATTAAAAATGTTGCACCACGTGGGTTGCTTAAATCCCCACAATTTATGTGATATATCCTAAAAATTTTATCCAATTTAGTGATTTATGAAATGGTGATTTCGTTAAAGATTTATTAGTTAATTTTTGCCTAGACTTGATCACTCAGAGAATCTAACTAAAGGGAAAAGGCTACTGAAGATTTGTTCCTAAAAGCCGCCCGTTAATTTGATATGTATTATAACTGCGATTGATTGATTTCAATCACGAATTATGATCCGATTTTGAGTGTCGAATGCTTAAGGATTTCAAACCCGAACCATAGGACGTCACCTAGTAATTTTTACGAATTGGCCATCGAAAATTCTAATTTCGGAAAATGATCGAAGAATCAGAAATTCGACGCGAGAAACGGAAGTGAACTGAGCAAAGCCTGTTGGGCCTCTCGCCCGAGGGGGCCGGCCATTAAGGCACGATAAGATTAAGTCGGTCCGTAATTTGGTACTCGGACTGAAAACAAAATGATAATTTAGGAGACAAAATTTAAGAAAAATTACAAAAAAAAAATTTGGGTAACGATGAACCCACCCCTCTCTTCTCTCTCTCCCTCCTCCTTCCCCGCTGACTTTTTCCCACGCTGGGTGACTCCCCCACCAACTCCAGCCACTCCCCTTCTCTTCTTCTTCTTCTTCTTTTCCTCTTCTTCTTGGCCGCTCCTGCTTCGTGTCTTCTGCTACTTCTTCGCTTCTGCTTCTCATTTTCAGCCGCCAGACCAGCCCCTCCTCGCCGGACCAGCCATCGCCGAGGGCCGCTCCACCCCGCCGTCACACCACCGCCACCCCAGCTTTTCCCCTGGCCGAGCAGCGCCGCCCCAGTTGCCCCGAAACTCCCCGGCGCCGACTGTTTTCCAGCCGAGTTTCCAGCTTCGTCGCTTGCCGGTTGCACCCGCCGATTGAGCCGCTCGTCCGCCACCGTCCCAACTGCCACGATGCCACCACCAGCCACCATTCTGTCCCTGGATCAGCCCCCCGAGAATCCCCCAAGCCACGCCAAACAGCCGCCCGTCAGCCGCCCACGGCCGCTGCTCGCCACTCGCCGCGCTCGCCTGCCGCTGTCCAGCCGCCTAACCGCCACCACCAGCAGCCATTTCACGTCTGGAATGGCCCCAAGCAGCCCCCGAACAGCCCCATAGCAGCCGCTCCCTTCGACGCGCTCGTTCGCCGCCATCCACCGAGCTCAAACCAGAAACCACCGTGGACATCCGCATCGTCGCCGTCGTCCTTGCGTAATTGCCGTAGTTAGATGACTAAGTTACCCCTAATTCCGTGTTTAAGGTGTTAAACTTGCTTATGGTAGTTTAATTTAAGTTTAGATTAAGTTAATTGTTGTTTAAAGAAAATTAGTGAATAAGTTATCGGCGAATTATTTGATAACCATAGACGATAGGCTATTGGTAATATCGGTGATAGGCTATCGTTGTGTTCGCAATAAGTTATCGCTATTTTCGACCAAAAAAAAAGTTATTGCTATTTTGACGATAAGTTATCTATTATTTTATTATAACTATTTATTTTATTAAATAAATTAATTTTCGGAATTAAATAATAATATTTTATTCTTAAAAAATTATTAATAAAATATTCAAATTCCGAAAATTAAATATTAGTATTTTCGAAAAAAATTTAGTACCGAATTGTGATTGTTTTATGCTTGGATTGTAATGACAATGTTGGATTTCGCCGTATAAGTTGGCATATATGGCCTAATGATTTGAATAATTATGTTTCGAGAAAAGATTTTTTGAATCTTCGAAAATAAATTATTTTATAATTATGTTTGAGAAATGAATTTGATGTCTTGAGAAGAAAAGCATGTTTTGAAATGATGTTTCCACAAAATTGAATGATTATTTGCATATGTGATCACGTGAAATGGTGATGTTGCTTTGGCATGAACACGGTTCATGTTTACATGGGCTAATTGAAAATATAAGAATTGGCTTGAATGCTCGAGTGCTCATGTGATCACGTGATAGAGCCGTCTTGCTAGATACTGCTTGACAATGCCTAACTTATCAGGGACTGCTGTGTATCGCGCCCGATTTGTCGGATGCCTGATTTATTGGGGACTGTTATGTATTGTCACGACCTAACCCTCGAGGGCCTCCTCGGGAGAAATAGGTTTAGAGGTATTTTATTGGACTCTCCCTAAGTCCATACCTCGCGAGACATTGATCGTTTAAATCTATTTGTTCAATAGGAGCCGCCACTAGCCATGATTAAGGGTTAGCTAGAAACCCTGATCGAGATGCGGGTGTGTCATCTCGAAAACATACGCAACCAGAGATTCTTAGGGATCGGGGACTTGATTACATTAGTTTTTTCAACTAATGCCCTTTCGGTACCTAAACTCGACTATTTGCTAACCAAAATATCACGGCAGTCTTGTAATCGAGAATTTTGAATTTTCATCCTAACCATTCTAAAAGGGGAAAACAACAATCCATGAATTTAAAGTACGCAATCAAATGAAATCAAAATGAAAGTACACAAACAGCAACCTAGCATCGTCTCTAAAAAAAAACAATAAAGAATCCCTAGGGTAAAGCCCTAAAGGCTTATTCAATTTTGGGTTCAATTTTTGTTCAAGCCAAAAGTGCTTATTAAAAGTCCCAAACTAAGAGAATTCTACATTTTTTTTAGCTTTTCTCACATTTTTTATTTTTTTTTTATTTTTTTTTGAATTTTCTGAATTTTTTATTTTTATATTTTTTTATTATAGAAAAATGGACTTCGGACCCGGTCCGCTTAGCCGGTCTAACCCGGACCCTAACAGTCCGGTCAAACTCGCAATTCGAACCGGTTCTTGTGGCCCAGTACTAATTCGGGTCTCTTCTGATGGGCCATCATGACAAATCATGCCCAAGTTTCTAACTTCTTTTATTTTATTCATTTTGGCCCAATTTTAAATTCAGCCCAATCATTTGGCTTGACCTACAGACTATTGCACCTCTGTTCCACCAAAATCAGAATGTGATTCGGTCTCCATTTGACTCTTTTTATTTCTAATTTTTTATTGTTTCTTTCTTTTTCTATTTTTTTTTAAATTCCCTTTTTGGTCTTCTTCTTCCTTACGTGATTTCCTTCTCCGAGAGCTCATGAACAGGATTTCAAACCGAAGCGACGATTCCTCCGGTCATCAACATTTACTCAAACAACCTATCCCTAACTCGCCTTCGACGACCATCAATCCCAGCCATTATTAGATCGCCGGCTGATTTTTTTTTTTTTTCGATCACTGTTCTGACTATCCAAGATCTTTACAGACGGCCATTTTCATTCATCAACTAATAATCCACAAGCAGTAGCAGTAAATGTACCCATACATAGCAGAGAAAGGGAAAAGAGGAAGCTAACACGGACGGACTTTAACCGTAGGCACCTTCGGCATGGAAAATGGATCTCCGACAAAGGTTTCGTTCATGGCCGATTCGGAAAAATGATGAATATGCCACAAAATGAAGGAAAAACACAGATTCAGTATTGATTCATCAAACTAGGACCTAATCAAGCACAAAGGACGAGTTCCATGCGTTGATTCCACAAAAATCAATTCGGTTCTTCTTTCAAGCATTTTGTCGAACATATGATATGCAACTTCGGAAACGATTTTCCGACTTAATTTTCGAACGATTTTCAGCGTAAACACAATATATAAAGTTATGAATCACCAATATATTCCACAAATCCGCTTCAGTTTCACATGATTTTGACCAGAAATCATTCATTCAATTCGGCGTTCTATGCCTCAGTGTAACAGAGAAACAAATCATTGTAAGCAGAAGGCCTGGTTCGTGGACAACGCCTTCACGGTAGTCTACGAACGGGACCGCAACAGAACTTGGCGTCTTCCGGCACGGCGAAGAAATGACGAACAAGAATGTCTCGTACGTCCGAAACGACGAACAACTTGGAGGTTACGGATTCCGAATCCAAGGAAGGGAAGAGATGGATCAAAAGGTAGGGTAGCAGCTACAAGAGTTCTCCGGCGATGGTGAACAAACGATGGAAGAAGGGGAAGAGATTTGCCGGAATTCTTCTACGCGAGTAGAAGAACCGAACGCTCTCTTCTCCAAGAACCTTCTTCCCCGACGATTTTTTTTACTCCTCTCCTCCCTTCAGTCGAGTGAGTATATATCTTCCCGCGCCTCCACCGTGCATTCCGTTTTTCTGATAACGACTTCTACAGCTCAGCAAGCATCTAGAACCTTACCTGGATATGCTTCCGTCACATGTTTGTTTCGTCACCGTCATTCTCAATCACAGATGCACCCTCTGTTCGTCACCATCTTCTGCTCACAAGTGTGAGCAAGCAAAAGGGATCACAGGCGTGAGATTGGGGGTAAAAAGAAATGGGCTCAAAGGAAATAAACTGGGCTTAAAGACAAAAATAAAGAAAAGAGAAGAGGGAGTCGAATTCGGCCCAAACGAGGAAAGAAAGATAAGCCAAACACGCAGTGGGCCGAATGCTCATATTAGGCCCAATCGGTCTTGGTAGGTCAAGAGTTTTTTTTTAAATCGAGGTGTCAACATGTATCGCGCCTGATCTATCGGATGCCTAACCTTTCGAGATCTATTGCATATCCCGCTCGATTTATCGGATGTCTGGAGATTATCTGGATTGACGATATTCCGGATGCCTTGTCGCAGCCCGAGGCCGAACTCGATGCTCCTTACGGGATACCATCTTACTGTGTATCGTTTGATGTTGCCGTATTGGAATGTCATCTCGCTGCGTATCGCTTGATGATGCCGTGCCCGACAGAGCAGGACGATGCTCGGTCATGCCGGAAGACTACCATCTTGTTGTGTATCGCTTGAGGGAATTTCAATGGAGAGTTCTTGAGTTTAATTTTAGCTTTTGCCTGATGACTGTTCTAAATCGCTTTCGTTCAATTTTTTGTTTGTGGGTTGGCGCTGTGGCTTTAATGTGAACTATAAAAAAACCTCAAATGTTGTTGTCTCGAATCTTTTATGCGAATTCGTGTCGGCCAATCGCAGTACTTCCTACTTATTCGAATTGAACTCTGTTAGAAATTTTTTACCTAGCAAGTGAGCTGTCATCGTTAACAGGTTAATTTGCTATCCTGCCTGATAAATTATCCTATCTTGCTTGTATGTTTGTGCTGATATTCACGCAATCAAGGATGGAACAGATTCGAGAGGAATCTCGTGCCGGGAGCTGGTTGACGGAGGAGGATGTCCGGAGGGTGGTAAGATGAATAAAACGGCCAACATGGACATACAAAATACAGTCTTTGTTGCATTTCAATTTAGAGAGACAGAGAGAGAGAGGGTTTACTGAAATTACTCCGACAATAAATAAAAGAGAAAAAGACACAAACCCCAAATTATGCCCACTGTAACACAATAATCCTAAAGTTTTTTTTTTTGTGATATTAAAAACCCCAAACTATGCCAACTGTGACATATTTACTCTAAATTTTTTTCTTGTGACTTAAAAAACCTCAAACTTGTAACTATGCCATATATTTGCCTTCCGTCAGATTATTTTTCAGTCAAACTAACGTTGTTTTTATTTCACTTAAGTCACGTAGGCATAATGTCAATACTATTTACTTTTTGGAGTCTATGTAATCATATTTTTAACGGTTCTCATTAACAGAACTTTGACGGAGGATAAATGTGTCATATAGAAAAAAATTTAGAGTAAATATATCATGGTAGACATAATTTAGGGTTTTGGTGGCTTTTGCCCTAAATAAAAATGTGAACTAAAACTACTCCTCGAATAAATTTTGATGTGAACTGCGACGATGACTAGGAGATTTACTTGAAGAGTATATGAGAAGTGGTGGCTGTGGATCATAGGAAGGTTCTGTGAAATGTTTCTTGCATGCATGCTTCATGTAGATGGAGGATTAATGTGGGCCACTATTTTTAAGAAGCACAAGCGCGCGTTGCGGTAAATATGCTACCTCGCAAAATGAGCAACTTATCTCGTGTTCTTTTGATACGTGCAATGCATATGAATGGACGTTGTCGTATAGGAATTTTTATCGCACTCTTAAGTTAACTACACATGAGATTAATATGGTATTTAATAGGGTGGCGACGAGGAGGAGGATGTTGCGGACCGTAATCGAGGAATCGTGGCCCTGATGGCTGTACAACAGCTTGAGCAAATTGATTGGATTCTTTGGAGTG